CCTCAAGTCGTTCTACTCTCGTCTCTAATAAATGTACTCTTTCTGCCATTTGTCGACTGTTTTCTACAAGGGTATCCTTTTTCATGTAATCAAATCTAACAAATTTTGATGTGCTTTCATTGGGAGTTTTCTTCCTGGACTTAATAGTTCGCATATAATGATTTACCTGAGTGCACACTTCGCATCTTACATCAGCTTCAAGCATGAGTGAGCATTTCGTTGATCTTATAACTTTTAAATTTAAATTCGATTGTAGTGGCTCAACGTATGCAGCTGGTTCTCCAGCAACAGTTTTAAAGACAGGTGTGTGTCTGCCTCTTATATCATGTAGTCGATCTTTGTAATCATCAAACTGTACACCAGGACAAAGATAATATCGCTCCAAGTGTTCCATAAATGAATACAGGTCATTGAGATTATGGATAGGACTATTGTCCTTGTAGTTCAAATTTGTTTCTCTGGGTTTCCCTCCAAAAATAAATTTGTATGTACCATCTGCAAATATTGTAACTTTATATTCTTCAGTAATACTAGTAAGATTGGAACCAAAGTAATGCAAATGTACCTCACATTCATCAATATTTGCCACAACTTTCCATTTAGGAAATTTTGCCTAGATGTAATTGCTTTTACTGACTTTGTAGGCAAGGCTTTTCGACTTTTCCAATTCCTGTGAAGCAGACACACTAGCTGAATTAAGACCATCACGTAAATCCTTGTAATCTTGAGCACCGACTGCATTGTTATTAACCAGTAGATTTACCAGTATGTTCTGATACTTGGTAACTATTCTGTTCACATCCAGAGCATGGTATCTCCACCGAAGAACTCCATTAAATTTACCTAAGCCTTTTCTTGTATTGTTTATAGACCTGTAGAAATAGTTTCGAAGTTTCACACAGTCAAAGTTAATATCGTAAACATCCAAGATAGCATTTGAGATTCCTGCAAACTTTTCTGGTGAATATCCCTTGACAGAGTTTATATTCCTGCCAGGTGATGAAACTGTAGTTAAACTATATAGAAGTAGTTCTTCCGGCTGAAGAGGTAATCCACTGCTGTATTCCAGTGACGTAGAAGGTGGAAATTGTATGCAGCCAATGTTTGCAACAGGTTGAAGTCTTTCATTTTGGGGCCCCACATACGACGGAGACGATGAACAGGAACTCTCGCCAGCTGAACATGTTTTATAACTTTCTTTTTCTAAACTCGGTTTAACACGCTTACAACACGATGGGGAGAAGCCCGACTCGGGTCTTTTACAGTTTACATCGCACATTTGCAGCAAAAAATAATAATACAAAAACAACAAAAGACAAACGTTTCCCGCAAACTAGTTTAGCAAAGCGCGCTTGCTCCTGCTTACGACATTTCACATCAAACGCCATTATCTATATTTCCATAGTGATATACAATCATCCTTAGCTCAATGTTCGATTTTAAAGAAAGAATTTTTATGGCTAGGCTATCTTGAAAGGTCAAAATCAATAAAATTATCCACTACGAATCGCTTTGTTTTGACAAATTATGAAAGGTATACCCCCAATACAATTCTACAACAAAATTTCAAGGTGTATAAAAGCATTTAATACACCAAGCGCTCGTTTATATCTTCAATATGCCGTACTTCGCTAAACAGGTCTTAGTAGCAATAGGGTCCAAAAAATTGCATCTATTTCTTTCTACAATCTATAGAATTTTGGACAAATTACAAAGCATATACGGGGAAGAACGAGACAGCATATTTAAAATATTGGCGTACTTTAAAATACAAAATTTTATACAATAATCTACTGGATTTTGTGTCTCGGTCAACTTCAGTCATACAATATCCCCAAATTATCCACTCCGATTTTTTCCAGAATTTTACAATACAAACATATAATAGGTGACTTTTAACTTACCGAAAAATTATGCCGTAGTCTTCACGATAACACACCAAGCGCCCACAGTGTAAAAACAGTCAATAGAAGTCATCAAAACATCACGCCGTTTTCCCTAATATTGTGCACATTTCAACATATTCTTGATTTAAAGATACATTAATAATTCAAGCACGTTAGGTGAAAGAACAGCCCGAAAATAAGTAAAACACACACCAAATCATTGTGGGAGAATGGGTTCAGGGTGAAGTGAACCAATTATATACATTATACTCTCAAACTCTGGTCAACCCAAAGACTCATTAAGCCTTATGTTTTCATCCCGCAGGCGTATATATAAGACCTGCTAGGAGAGACTGAATGCTCCATAGGAGCTCTGCCCGAAGGGTAGCGACCCCCTCTGACATAGACCTGAACCAAGGGGTGATAATCCCCTTGGACAGTACCTACGATTCGACTGATTATATTTACATAAATAACCTGAGTCTATGGGCCTGAAGTTGACCATTGGGAACACTTCAACCCCACAAATACACAGCATGTGTATTCCCCATAGACGAACTCCCACCACAGCTGTATTCGTATACAAGACAGCTGCTGCCAGATGATAGTTAGACATATATTTGGGCGTTACCATCACTCATACTATAGCTGGATAGTCAGGGAGGCCAGAAAAAACCTGGAATATACAGGAAACCTGGATGGGGCCAAGACAACCAGCAGCTTCCCCACAAAGCTTCTATCTTACAATTTTTTAATTGGAGGGTTGGTAACACGACAAACAAAGCTCACTATCGAGGCACATTTTATTTATTTTTATTTAATTTTTTATTTATTTTTTTTTTTTTTTAAGTTAAATTAATGTGTTCATAAATACGTTTTGCACAACATTTATTTGTTAACCGCACTTATTTTATTTCAATTACTGTATGATCAGTGGAACTTTCTCGAATTATGTGACATTACTCTCACAAAAATAGCTTATTCATTACTTTAATTCAAAATAGCAAGACCAAAATTTTGCGATCGAACATCCGATCATGCATGCATGATATTAGCAGAAAGAAATTGTAAGAATATGTATGTGGTAGTCAAAATAGTTTATAGGCAGTAAATAATAGTACATCAAAGGATTTTCAATTTTCAAAAGCGTAGGCATACATGGTATCGTACCAATCTTTCCTGATATCCATCTTGCCGATTTATCGCAAATGTGCAAAAACATATATCATGTGCAGAGTTTTAAGTCTCAAATTTCGTTCACAAATGAGCTTGCTTTCTTAAGTTTTGAACAGTAAAGTATTGAAAATGTATGCGGGACAAATTAATTTTGTGAAATAGCTGAAAGAGAAGTTTTATAATTCTACTTTCGAGCAATTGAATACAGTTTAATGTAAGGCCTGATTGAAACCCAATCCAACGCCGAATCTGAGGCGTAATCTGAAGCCTGCTGTAATCTGCGGCTAACCTCAAGGTAGTAATAAAATTGTCATTGGAATTTTTGATCAACAAATATAAATACACCAGAATCACAGAATGTTGTTATAAAATAGACGAATTTTAATACATTTTGGTTGGTTTGAGATGCGGAATACGAAACAAACGTGTCAATGCACCGCATACTTACGCGCCGAATACCGCTTCATTTTAGGAAGCATGTGCATTGAGACATGGAATGATATCAATTGAACGCTTGTTGATTTCGTGTTTAGCGGCTTTAGCCTATCGATCTTGTTGTTATTCCCCCAGCGGCGGTTTCATTTAATGGTAATAACTTCGTCGGGACTTGGGCCAACGTATTCCTTTGTCCAGCAGAAGAATAAAAGCGCTTGTCCGGTAGAGTCTATTTGAATAAACTGCGTCTCACTGAATTATCATACTGAGTTACTGACCAAATTTTCTTTAATATAACCATGATATGTCAATTCCAGCGTTCACAAACTCTTTTCTGTCACATTGCCTCAGTTCATTCGATGTCCGTAATTCTTTACAGCTCCGCACCAAGTCAAATTTTCAAATTTTCTTTCTCGGTAACAAGACATTGCTCTTTGTTGGGATATTTGTCAAAGTGAACTCCCTTATCACATTGACCTTTGTTCTGCGTGTTCGTTGTTGACATATGATTGGTCAGTTGATCTTTCATTCGGTTTTACACATGCCCAGAGAAACATTTGAACTTTGGACTATTGGATATCGCCTTTTTGTGGCTGTTGACAAGCTTATCCTGTTACTATGAGATTATAACCAGGTTTGAAGGTGACAAACGTGTTGTCTCATTAACTTGAATTTATATATTGTTATATATAAATTTGCTTTTCGATGGTAAATAAGAGTCATTTTATCTATTTTTTAAAAAAACCGTGTCTCACAACGAAACGTTTCAGTAAAAAAAGCGATGCAATACGGATAAACAAAATTAGCTATTTTATTCGAATTTGCAAATAAGCACTCTCGTGCCAGTCCTCTTCCGCATCACACGTCGATCAGCGCGATTATCAGCGCGTTGCACCGCCCAGTATATAAGCGCCCTGGTCAAGTTCTTGTCTAATGCACTCGATTTTCAGATTTCGCTACCCTGTTTCTCGCACTGCAGCAGACGAAAAATAAAAGAAAGCTAGCAGACGTAAACGTCATAAACGTTAATCAAGACCACAATTAATTGTCGCAATCGGAAAATTAGCAGTCAAGAATTCTTCGCTGAAACATGGCCGAAAAGGCCACATAAAAAAAAATTACTTGTTTAGCGTCCCCGCCCGACCTGATAAAAGTCCCCGACCTCCAATTTTTTATTTATTTTTTTTTTTTAAATCCGTCCGAGTTTAGTGCAAAAACTCTCTATAAAAAAGACCGTTTTACTTGAAAAAATGGTGATTTTATTCTTCTGGGAGCTATGTAATACGTTTACTCCTTCCTCGCAGCTAAAGTGTTCGCGCGTGACCGCCAAACGGTAATCATTTCTGTTTTATTAAAAACATGAACGGTATTAAAAAACATGAACGGATTTTGAAAGAATTAAAGTGAGTTTTGACTGTGGTAATATACTGGATTTCCTGCATTTAACAGAATTTTGTGTTGCATTTTACGAAAAAAAAAAAAAATCCGCCCGCCCGACCTAGGAAAATTAAAATGGGTGGACGCTAAACAAGTAATTTTTTTATGTGGCCAAATGACGTTTCTTGCAAAATGTGTGTTTTTGATGGCAAATAACCTCGAGCAGGGACTTAATATTGATGGAATATTACTTGAAATTTGCAGCACATGTGTTTGTTGTCCAGGACAATTAAGTATAAATATATGTGAGGTATTTTGCTAAAATTGCTTGTTTTTCACCTTAATTTTCTCATATATACAGGCTGTGCCAATGAAATGTGATTAGGTCAGAAGATGTGCTTTTCTTTCTAGTTTTTGCTAATGGAATGTAAACTCGCCTAAAAATGAAGAGAATACTGAATGTTGGCAAATTTCATGTGCAAGTGTGTTTTATACGAAAAAGGCGACTCAGAAAATAAGCATCAGAATAAACATTTTGCCATGTATTTTGCTATAATAGTTTTAAAATATTATTTTTAGGTTTTCAAGGTGTTTAAAAAACTGATAAACATAGCAATCAGATTTTTCTATGACCCTCAGTCGGAAGCGTAAACACAATTATCGCTCGTTCAAAATTCTATAAACACGAATTTTGTCATGTACAGGTCGTGCCAACGAAATACCGCTGTTTTACATTAAATTTCAAAGCATTTTACAGTCGGTATTAAATTTCTTGGCTTTGTAAAAAATGAAGAAGTATTAGTATTTTTGGTTTGAATTTCACATTTTATTGAAGCTATCAAACGACATTTTGAAAGGAAATTAAATTTTTTGCTTTGTTTTGTTTCGCACTGAAATAATCGATATTAATAGTTTACACTTTACATTGTAAAATATGTGGCAATATTGTAAAATATGTGTGTGACAATATTGAATCCAATCAGTGAATCCAATTTTTGTGAATCAAAATTCTTCAAAATTGTCTTTCGAAAGCTTCGTTTATGTTGTTTATGTTTTTTAAATCAACCAAGTGCAATCACGCATATCTTCTTTTCCCGCTGAAAACCTGAGCAGTTTTCGCGCATGCTCAGACAATTTCCCCACCTGTTGGGCGACGCTCTTTCTGGAAAGAGAGTATTGAAATATATAACTTTGAACTTAAAAACGTTCTATAAATATAGGAGCTATAAATTTCTGAGGCTGCTTAAAGATTAAGATGTAATGTAGTTGTTCTTGACCAATTCCGTCAGACGGTGCTTCGATTAAGTACCATGTTATTGAAAGTACAGCGCTTATTCCATATAAATAACAGTATCTATTATTTCTATGGCGTATCCCCAAGCCCACGGTGCGGAGCGCTGTTCCGGGCGTAAGCCTGGGGCGAGGGTACTAATTCTGCCCGGCTATTTGGTACACGGACATTTTGCCGAAAGACACTTCGCCGAAAGACGATTTGCCGAACGGACATTTTGCTATGACGCGCCGAAGCGAACAATAATACTTATTTGCGAATATACAGTACTTCATGTAGAAATTTAAAACTCTATTCTGAAATATGACACTTCTTTTACAAATATAATGATCAATTGTTAAATAAATAAATAAACCAATTTCAAGATATAAACCTAGAATGAAATGTAAATCAGTCAATTTTGTGATATACAAACTGATTTCGATATATAGAACAATATTGATATACAAACTGATTTTGATATATAAAACAATATAGATATACAAACTGATCGCGGCCTCAATTTGAACACCGCTATACAATATTGATCGCTGGCGCACGCTTATAGATCTATTGCAAAATGGCGGCTTCAACCATAGCACTAGATGAAAGACAAAACGAACCAGTTTTCTATTGTAACGAGTTATCCAGTTCATCATCGGTAACACCACTAAAATTATTTTCACACACTGATGATGAGCATTCTGCACAGCGACGATGAATTGTTCTCTCCGAAACGCCTACAATTTTAGAAATTGCTTTCCAAGTAAAATTTAATTTATGCAGACCAATTAATTGTCTTTCTGGAACTGAAAATCTGGGTCTACCTCTTCTTGCTTCCTGGTTACCTAGTACTTCATACTCGCACATATACCGACTGTTTTCAGTTTCAAAAACTTCAGCTTCGTTTTGTCTTTCATCTTGTGCCGGCTATGGTTGAAGCCGCCATTTTGCAATAGATCCAACTTTGGAACTTCATGGTTGACACGCATGCGTATTGCACCCATTTTATTATTGACCGGTCAATAAATGTTTCATTGTGGACCGGCACGTGATACGGTTTTGACCAATCGGCGGACAGAAAAATTGAACTTTGACACCAACTATATAACTAGAAAATACATGCATGCAGAAACCCTCGCCTTGCTGACAAAACCATTGTATTTTCCGAACATGAAGTATCTAAGTTGTCATGGTAACACGATAATTTTTTAAGAATATTCCAGGAATATTCTTACAAGTGAAAAATCGCCTATAAATATCACTTTTAATCACAAAATTATTAATTTCCCAACATACATATGTTAGGTATGTTATTATACGTAATATAAGCCTCGATTTAAGGTAAAATTCAACCACAAACGCTTCGCAAAGCGTTTTAAAGTCATTCGAGTGTTCTTTAATATAAAACTAAACTGCCTTTTAAAATGGCTTTATCGATAAACTTTGAGTTTGCAATAAAATGATTTAAAATTCTCGCTTGCAAATAACTTTGCTTTCCTATTTATTTAAAAAATTCAATATAATGAAAAAGGGAATCAATACTAAAGATACACTGAAAATATATGCTGTCTTGTTTAGTTGTTTCATATACGCAAAAGCCGTCGGGTTTTAAATCCATTATAAAATCAATATTTAAAACAAACTTACCTTCGTTAACGTCGGCTCCCTTCTTTTAGCGGATTCTTTCGCAGTTCCTTTCTCAGAGAGCTTTTGAAATTTACAAAATCTTGCAAAAGTGCGAGCAAAAATGAAATATATTTGCCAGAAATTTACCAATCATCAAATCAACTCAAGAAATGTTTGCTATTTCGCTGTCGTCATGCAGTCGTTATAATGCTAACTTTAAATTGGACCAATCAGTGTCCGCTATTCGTGACAGTCCGCCATATTTTTGAGATCAGTGAGGATGACCACCCACCCAACACCGTTGGTGACCCACGCCCGCGATATTTGAAGAACTTTAGACTCCGCTAATGCTTTCGTTTCCCCGGGTGTAAATAGCCGGGGGGAATTAATACATTTTGCAAGTTAAAATTATCGTGTTGT